AGGTCCTGCTGGAACGCTACCAAAGTTCACAATGTTAATTTGAAAGTCTTCTTTTTTGTCATAACGTTTTGATCTCAGCCGATTCTACTACTGTTCAATTCTAAATATTAGTCAAGACATACAACTGACCTTATCTGTTTCTGTGGTATCCTTTATTAAGTGCACTGGAATCGATGGAAGCAACTACGGGTAACATAATAGAACTTAAACATTTCAATAACAGGACATCTTCTATATGTTAACATTTAGTTCACAATAATGCAAACTTCTTTTCACCTCTCTTGAGGAACATAAGGAATTTTGTATACATACATTTTTTTCTAAATAAAATATTGTTTATACTAAGAAGTCAATGAGAAAAGGTGCACATATTGTTCCTGTTGACGACACTTTGTTAATAACTTCCCATTCGACTTTGATCAACTTTCACAATTTATTCGACAAGAGTTACGGGAAAATGAAAATCTTCCAAACTACTTGTATCCAAAACCTATCCTGATACTTCCGTTTTAGTTTTCGTAGACCGCATTGTCTTAAATACTTCAGAGTTGAATTGTATTCTAAACCTGGCGTATCGCCAGCAGGTTCTTACAAAGATTGTGGAATCAAACAAAACCAGACTTGCAAACAAATGCTGCATAACCGGAGTTTTAACTACTAGTATTAAATTGGATAATTTGCATGCGTGTTGCAAATGTAAATGCAGTATCTAAAAACGTACACACATTGTTCCCGTTGACAACACTTTGTTAACTTTCCATTCGACTTTGATCTACTAACACGGGTTATCCAACAAAATTTGAGATAAAAAAAATCCTCCTTACTATCCAATATCTACCTGAGACTACCGTTTTAGGTTTCCGTAGACCCCGTTGTCGTAAAGACATCTTAAACAGATTAGAGTTGTTCTAAATCTTGCTTTTCGTCAGCAGGCTATTTCAAAAATTGTAAACTCAAACCAAATCAGACCTGCAAACTAAGCTGCATAACTGGAGTATTAACAACTAGTATTTCAATTGGACGATATGCATCATATTTTGCTATGTTAGTAACTTTTATTACCATTAATTATCACACGGCCTAGTCCAAAAAGGGATGAATCCCACAAGGTTTCGAATATGTAAAATATAAACAACAATAACAATGGGATGAATGAGGAGAGAAAATGTTACATTACATAAATACAGTAAATACGTGTATTCTATTGTCATTTTAATCTTTCTACAGATTTTCCTCATACCTTTTCTTATTTTGACAATACACAAATTTGTTACAGTACAAATTGGAATTCAGTAGGATCCTGAATCCTCCTAGTACAAATTGGAATTCCAATATCTACTAGTAGAAACAAAAATTCCGATTTATGCTAATAAAACTCCAGTACAAATCAGAATTCCTATAATAGAAAAAACAAAGGATATGGGGTATCCATCCATGACAAAAAAATCGGTACATGCACAGAAAAAACACATTGGTATATACAGACTAAATTTCTATAGTAGGATCAAAGATTTATATAGTAAGTCTTACTATATAAATCCTTGGTAGGATCCAGAATATCACTAGAACTGAAGTTAGTATAATTCTGGATTGTATCGGATTTATCTTTTATTTTTTATTTTTATCGATGGCCCTTGATAAGTAGGAAAACAAACTAAATGATAATAAAATAAATCTATCAATTCCTTATTGAAACAAATCTGGTAAAATACACTAATTTTCGTGATTTGAAAATATAGTTTATTTATAGTCACAATTGCTCCAGTGTTCCTGTCGAAGGTTTTCTGTGTGTACTGAAGTTCTTTCACCAATAACTTGTTTCGTCACTCCATTTGACATCAGGCTGTTAATACTGAAATAGAATATTTGTTTTCAAAAATACAATTAATTATTTATATAATACTCATCTGGTACTTGATAATTTTATTTCTCTTACATTAGGTGTTATTGTACACGTTAATGTATACATACATCTTTGGCTTTCAAAAATTTAGGTTAAAGTGTTTCTGACGAAGGAAAATCCAGAAAAGCGCATCGGACGCACGAAATGTATGATATATATTTCATTTTCAACACACGTTTTTTTTACAATCTAAAACTTTTATGTTATGTATTATTTGCCTATGCGTGCTGACAGTAGCGTTAAAAAATGTAATCTTCATTTATCAATATTTGAATAAACATTTCATTTTATTATTTAGCAGATTTGGTGATGTGAAGTCAGCAGCCGGTTCGTTATTCGATATTCAATATCCAACCGGCTGCTAGCAGTCGGTTCGATATTCAAATTGCTAAGTTGATAATAATAAAAATCTAAATATTAGATAACAACTAAAACATGATAGTCATAGATAAAAAGAGTAAAAAGATATCTAGGAAATCGTTTTATGACCCCTTCAAGCTGTCGTAAATTTCCGTTGTCCAATATAAACCCTTATGAAAATTGCACATTTGTCTTAATGAAATATAGATTTTTATCAATAAAATGCAACCAGAGATATACTTTTTACTTGATAATTCTAGAAACAAAAACAAACGATCACTTTGGTAGCATTAGTTAAAAATAGAAATAGAAATATTTACGGAAAGCCATATGCATAATATAGTGAAGATTGAGAGATCAGGAAGGTCTAGCCAACGCTCTGTGCCCTTTCACCTGATTTTTTGACGATTTTATTTGAAAAGTGACACTTTAAGCCCTCCGTACATATCGAAGATGACATTTTTCTGGGAAATCCTTTTACTAAAATCTGTTTATATACAAAGTCTACAATAGTATTCAATTTTGTGGATAGTGAAAGACCAGGGGGGTCTCACTGTTTTTGAGCGGTCTCCGGTAGGTTTCACTATAAATTTTGAATATCAAACTGGCACTTTGAGCCCTACATAAACTCAGAAGACGAAAAGTTTACCCAAATTCCTTTTGATGTCAATTATATCTATATATTAACTAACTATATGCATAATATAATGAAGATTGAGAGATCAGGAAGATCTAGCCAACCCCTCGTTACTGGATATAGCTGAATATTTAGTCATTCGAAAATATCTTTTTTTTTTTTTTTTTTCCATAGTTGTTTCTATCTATATTTTTTAAATCGTTTCTTTTTGTTTCTTTAAATATCATCTTTTAAATGTTCATTCTTGATTATATTCTATTGATAAAAATCTAAAGGTCATAAAGAGAAATATTCGATTTACACAAGGGTTTATATTCGAGGACAACAAAAAAAAAAGATTTCCTTTATCTCTTAATTTTTACAACTATTAACTAAAAACTATCATGCTGAATGTTATCGAATGTTTATTTTTTTTTACTATATTCAACTTAGAAAATTTGAATATCGAACCGACTGCTAGTAGTTGGTTGGATATTGAATATCGAATAACGAATAACGAACCGGCTGCTAACTTCACATACATATTAAACAGTTCGTTTCAGATCATTTGATTGATCTTTTTTTGCTTGCATTCCCAGTAGCAAGATTTCATCCATATTCAGGACGAGAAACAAGGCTAGCAAAAACCATCAGCGCTGTCGCATCTGAGTCATATCGGCCACCCATTTATTCCGACACTGATTACCCCGTACGCCATTATCCCGTTATCCACAATTACACGTCAATCCAGGTTTATAACTGAATACTAGTATTCGGATTTCAAAATTGAGGAAATGAATTGGGAAATGTTGATTATTAATCAAAATATTAAAAAATCGTAGTATCGACTTCATCTTCAGTGGTAATCAAAGTTGCACATTGATTTGACCTTGAGATTAGCAAAGTTGTACCTCAGTTGATTTGTCCTTGAGATGAACTGTCATATACTTTCAAGAGTTGTTCAGGATATTAGTCGCACCACTCCAAAACAACCCGTTCGTGTGCTCACCGATTTTTCTTCAAGAGTAAAGAGTTATTATACGATTTTAAAATTATATGTCCTAATAAAAATGTCACAAATAACATATTTCTTGGTCATTGTAGTCCTTGTCATAAACAGTACAATTGCTAGTATACTGTTGTACAAGTATATTGTTGGCGATAAATCATTTTTACTGGAATAATATTTTTTGCAAATTTTCTATGGACATTGAGCAAGATTGCGTCTTCAAGCACGGTTATGACGTTGCTAATTATGTGTAATGTACTCCAAAGAACAACTGCTAATATTAGTCAAGGACAACATGATTTCTATATCAGTAGATTAAGATTTTTCATGATATTTGTTTTTTCATTAACTTTAACGTGTGTTTTTGTTATTTATTATACCGGTATTATAAAGATAAATGCTTTAAATTTCTTGATTTTTTTTTAATTATTATTCCACTAAACGAGATTAAAAGGGGAAGAGCTGTTAGTGCAGCAAATGAAAAAAAAAACCCACAAGATTATTTGCAACATATTTTCACGTACCCTGTCCCAAGTCAAGAACATCGTCAATAATGATATCTTTATGGGTTTTTTTTGTGTTTTATAAGTGTTGATGGCAGATCTTGGAATGCCTCCGTTAAAGTATTACTAACTTTTGAACATTAGTACCGTTTATGTTATTGTAAAGATCTTGTTTTTAAATTGATTGCTATCTCATAATTTGACGGTTTACCAACAACTCGTTTGTATATTTACAGAGAACAATGCAAAAAATGTAACTTTTTTTTATTAAAAAATAAAGAAGAAAAAATATGTGTTTCACAATTTTACAAGTAAAGGTATGTACACATTTTTAATACAGAATTCCTGTTTTGCGTAGATGATAATCATAACACTAAATTCAAGGCCTTGTAAAGTGGTGGCTATATACATAAAGGAGGTATCCTTGTAAGAGTAGTTATGAACACGAATGCAGTGTTTTCGCATTGCATGTTAATAACAAACAAACAAGACTCATATGTACACATTTTAATACAGAATTCCTGTTTTGCGTAGATGATAATCATAACACTAAATTCAAGGCCTTGTAAAGTGGTGGCTATATACATAAAGGAGGTATCCTTGTAAGAGTAGTTATGAACACGAATGCAGTGTTTTCGCATTGCATGTTAATAACAAACAAACAAGACTCATTTGTGCATTGAAGTAACATAATATATATATCAATTTTGTAATACATAATTTTGTAAATCAATTGAAATAGTGAAAAGAAGAAATGAAACATTTTCGTAACGATTTTTCTATTTTGAAGGCGAGTAGCTAGATAGCATTCATAATTCAGAGTGTGACAAATATCATATTCTGCAATTGTAAGCACTATGCGACCACTCTTTCCAAGGATTATCGTATTTCAAATAGCCAAGGACGAAGATGATTAATTCAACAGTTTTTTGGGGTGAAGGTTGAATATCTAGAAAAATTACCGTCGTTAAAAAAAGTGTTTTGTCAGCTGGGGAACAATATTGATTCATAAAAGTTATTTTTTAACAGTGCAGTTGTACAGTACATGTGGATAGATGTTTACCTGAGAGATGAGGGATAAACTGTAATCATTAGATAAGAAAATTAATAGAGCACAAGTTGTTTACATTTAGTCAGGAAGGTGATAACACACAAGAAACAGATTGACGTTTCTATTTCCGATGAATGAAACAAACTGAGATAAATTAATTAAGTTTTAATCGTCGTGAAATCTTTTAAAATATGGCATCATTTTCCGGAATAGGTTGTACATCAGGACCTTCTTTGGATGGTTTGGACTTATGTCACGTCGAATTTACAGGTGACGTGCAAACGGACATATGGGGATACAGAATAATGAAAGCCACAACTATTCCATACACCCCGGAATGGCAAGGTTTACTTCGAACAGCATGCCAGCTTAGCGGGGAGCAGCTTATTCGGCTTCACGTGGAGTATGGACATTTTGTAGGACAAACGATTGACGAATTCATTCAAACTGAAGGAATTAGCAATTTGGATTTTGTAGCGGCTCATGGGCATACTGTTTTCCATCAGCCAAATTTGGGATATACATTCCAGCTCGGAGATGGGGAGACAACTGCTGTGCATTTGAAATATCCGTTTGTATGTAACTTTGGTAATAAAGATGTTGCACTTGGCGGTCAAGGCGCCCCGCTAGTTCCTAACGGAGAAAAATTTCTATTCAGTCACAAAGATATATGCATTAATTTGAGTGGGATAGCTAACATTGGTCTTAGAGGACTTCAAGGGTATGATGTATGTCCATGTAATTATGTTTCAAACATGCTGGCTAATCTACACGACTCTAAACTGGAGTATGACCCAGAAGGCGACATAGCACGGACTGGGAAAGTAATAGACGATGTCTTATGTCAGTTAGAAGGGCTAGACTACTACAAACAACTCCCACCAAAGTCAATGGAATCGGAAAAGATTGAAAATAGTGTGCTTCCATTACTTGATGTAAGTTTAAGCTCAACTAATTACTTTTCATTACTTTTTCCTAGTTATTGTATTTATTGTTGTTGATTCATCCAAAACATGTGCAATGACATTGACCTATTTTAACCTACAGTCCAATGCCCTTATATATCACACTTTCAACTTGAAAAATCAATGTTTCAAAATATTTATACTGTAATCTAAACTACAAAAGTATGTCATGAAAATCCTGTTTGTTGCTAATTTGTGTGTAGCAATGTATCAAAAATGAATATGTAGAATATTTTAAATGGTGTATTTTTGTCCTTTTTAATACCGGTTGAATTAATTTTGTAAACAACTTCAAACCTTTAAGTTCAAGTGTACGGATTAGATATTATTTCTGTGTACGTGGTCAAAAGAATGAAGTACATTTGTACGTTGTATACGTTGTATCTATAAACAGTAAGGTTTTGTCTAATGAATGTATATTTGAGTCACCTAATTTAACATCATTGTAACCAAAAACTGCTCTTTTTATTTAGATAACGGGAATTATTTACTTGGACATTTTAGATCATTTTGAGAAAGTTTTAAAAGATGACTACGGAAGAACTAAATCCCACAACTGAATGCCACATTAGAAACAGAACACTGAAAAAAAATGATCAGATTGGCTTAAACGAATTATCACCCTATATTCTATTTACAGCAGCAATGACCTTGCTGATAAGTTGGCATATACTTAGGGAAAATATATAATTTTGAACACCACAAGTCACAAATGATTATGATAAAGTTTAAAATTATTTTAAACTTGAACCGGCAGTTTTAATGAAGATGACAAAAATAATGGACGACGAACGCAAAGTGATGCAATAACCTACAATGGTCCTGGTGCCTGGCAATGGCCGCTTATTTGACAAGGAATTACATAATGGGAATCAATTACTCAATAAGAATTAGTTTATACTATGCGTTAATAACCCATCATATATTTTAGACGGAAAATAATAACGGTTGAATTTTATTTTCCAGACTGGTAAATACCAAATTCCTGATCTATTAAGAGCATTTGCTGAACACGTTGCAAACAGGTTGGCAGATGCCTGCAAGGATGGACGAAACATGTTGAATGCGGGAAATGTGTCCAAGCAAAATAGCGTAATTAAAATTCTGGTTTCTGGAGGTGGATCTTTTAATACACATTTGATTAAGTTATTTAAATCTAAGTTACTGAATGAGGGGTTTGACATTGAGATCGCTGACAGTGACACAATTGTGTTTAAAGAAGCGTTGATATTCGCTTTTCTCGGACTTCGTTGTTTGTTGAATCAAGAAAACATTATGGCATCTGTTACGGGAAGTAGGTTTGATTCAATATCCGGTAGCATTCACCGTCCAGTTCATTCAAGTAGTTCCGTTACGAGAATAATTCGATTTTTGATGGAGAAAAACAAACAACGCACAGATTCATCATCATCACTTTGCTCAAGCTAAAAATGTTTGGGAAAAAAGGGGCATCTGGTACCGAGGACGGATTATTGATACGAACTACTGCAAAGATATTAACCGACATTCAAACTGTTTACTCTTATATACAAAGCATATTCTAGCAAAGGTATCTCTCTTGGTTTTACTTGCCAAAACGACTGTAAAAAATATTTAAAATTTATTGTTATATATTATAAAAGCATTGAACTATTCGAAACGTTTGAAAATGCAGAATGTTTAAAGCATAGTTTACTTGGAAGAACATTATTGAAATACAGGAATTGTGTACTTTTCATAAACGATTAAACAAGAGAGAAGATATCAAGGGGATCATTCGGAAAAAATAGTCAAATAAAAAAGACAATACCATGGCAACAAGTAAAACGACGAAAGGATAAACATATTGAATAATAACAAATATTACATAGAAAGCTAAATACTGAGCAACACGAATCCCACCAAAAACATTGGTGACTCAGGTGCTCCGGAAGGATAACAGTTCCTGCTTCACTACTGACACTCGTCGTGTTAGAAAATAAGTAAGAAAACATGTATTTCGATTTGTAAGTAACAGTTATGGTGAGCTCTTTATCTGGTTATTACAACAAAATACAGACAATATCCTGCATAACTAAACAGACATGCAAATAGAGACAGCTTGCATTACTACGAAATTTAAATTGCAATGCAAGCTTGTCAGGAAACATAAACATACTTTAATTTACTGCATGTAGAGCGACAGCAGTCAGAAACAATCTAGGACTGAACAAGATGTTTTCAGTCTTCAACAGTTTCACAATAAAATGGTCTAATAAAATGTTCAAATAAGACCTTTGAAAATAGTGGAATTAATTACTTTTGGAGTGTCAAAAATTCGTTGGAAGTACTTGATAAGTTGCATGCTCATATTGATGATTTCTAATTTGTTCAACGTTTTGATTTTCCTACCTATATACCACTTTGCCTCATAATCTCATTAAGAAAAAATTCACATACCTAATTCAATGGGCATTTAAAAAGTCAGAATGCGAATATATATCTTCAAACTCTTTTGGGTCTTTTTTTAGTAACAACAAACAATAGATCTATGTCAATTGGCCCTGCTTTGATACGATAACTGCACTTTTGGGATATACATTCCAGCTCGGAGATGGGGAGACAACTGCTGTGCATTTGAAATATCCGTTTGTATGTAACTTTGGTAATAAAGATGTTGCACTTGGCGGTCAAGGCGCCCCGCTAGTTCCTAACGGAGAAAAATTTCTATTCAGTCACAAAGATATATGCATTAACTGAATTTTTACCGATCGAAACAACATCTGATACAAAAATTTAATAACACTTTAAGATATTTGGATGATATATTGGCTCTCAATAATGACGACTTCAGTATGTACACTAAAGAGATTTATCCTGCTGAACTGACTTTAAATAAAGCTGATACTAACAATGAACACTGCTCTTTCCTGGATCTTGATATCTATATCTTTAACGGGAAGCTTAAGGATGTACACCTCTGAGGAGCCATAAATTTCTAGAATTAAACTTTTTTTCTCAACCTGAATTTTGGGTTTATATGACTGTAAAAAAGTAATTGGTGAAGAAAAAATCATAGGTGGTGCACTTCTTTTTTTTTGCTACGGCCATTTTACAAATGTAAAGTACTCAATTTTGTGATTTTCTCATTTTTCATCAATTTTTACCCATTTTTGGGCTATTATCATAAAAAACATCACAGTTTCACAAACTTTTTTTCATACTTTCACTAAAGAAGATGTGGACCAATCTGAATAAATTTAACTCAAAAAAACTATAGGTAGGTGTAAATATAAAAAAGTTTTATACAATTTTATTGCTTTTTCGTGTCAAATTTCCTATGCTGTCAATTTAGGATTTTTCTCTTTTTTTTAGAACAAAAAGCATATTATTTCAACTTCTTTGTTATAAATGATTGAAAAAAGTACATATCTAAGAAATTTGAAAAGGAAACATTGATATGGGATGTACATGTTTCTTATACCCCTCACCTATTTTCTCGACATTTTGGCTGAAAAGACTGACTTGATTGGTTATAAAATTTGAAAATTTTATTACTCAAAAACTACTTATTGTATATACACAATTTTTTCACAGAGTTAAGTTTGATTATAATAGTTTTTAAATTCATTGATATTTTCCACTTGTATCACGTGTTTTTGAAATAATTCCAGAACGAGATTGAAACGAGATTGAAACGTCAGAAGAATACATAATACCAAAATTTACGATAAAAGAGATGATTTTTCATTTCCTAGGGTATTGTTAATTATCCATTTTTAGATGGTGACGTTCCCTTGGCACCATCTTATGTTGTTTGTATATCTATGTTTCTTCTGTTACATATTCGAACATCGGACTCTGACTTCGTTTAAACTGGATTTTACTGTGCGTATTGTTGTGTGTTTGTTTATTCCACATTGGCTAGAGGTATAGGGGGAGGTTTGAAATCTCACAAAACATGTTTAACCCCGCCGCATTTTTGCGCCTGTCCCAAGTCAGGAACCTCTGTCCTTTGTTAGTCTTGTATGTTGGTTTTTTTTGTTCATTTATATGTTTCGGAGTTTAGTGTGACGTCCATTTTCGCTGAACTAGTATACATTATTGTTTAGGGGCCAGCTGAAGCCCACCTCCGGGTGCAGGATTTTCTTCCTGTGTTGAAGACCCATTGGTGGCCTTGGCCTGTTTTCTGCTCTTTGGTCGGGTTGTTGTCTCTTTGACGCATTCCCCGTTTCAATTCTGAATTTTAAATATATATACCGTTAGTTTTCTCAATTGAATTGTTTCATATTTTTCATGTCGGGACATTTTATAGCCGACAGCCGACTGTACGGTATGAGTTTTTCTCAATGTTGAAGGCCGTACGGTTGCTTATAATTGCTTACATCCACTTCATTTGAACTTTGGTGGATAGCTGTCTCATTGGCAATCATACCACAACTCCTTATTTTATTTGAATATATATATATGTACAGTTGTGAATACTACTGAACCGACATCCTGTCGATGCTGTTTACTTATATTTTTGCATTGAACAATGTCATGACTGTCGCAGACTGTTTATGACGTCTACGCTAAATCTGTTGGATGTGTACTTATTGATAGTTTGTCTGGGAGAACATGATCTATTTATTTGACTGCTCCGGTTTAGGGGAGGGTTAAGCGCTAACAAACATGTTTAACTCCGCCACAATCTTATGAGCCTGTCCCAAGTCAGGAGCCTGTATTTCAGTGGTTGTCGTTGGTTCATGTCTATATTATTTGTCTTTTTTTTTGTCCCCCGCGAAACGCGTGCGGGACACATAGAAATACCGGGCGTCCGTCCGTCTGTGCGTCTGTGCGTCTGTCCGTCCGGTCTTGTTAGCGCTCTCAAGTGTACAATTCTTGCCAGAAATTTATGAAACTGATATCATAGGATAATATCAGCAATGTCGCGGACAAGTTGGAAAATCAGTGCCGATCAATTATTTTTCAAAGAGTTATGCCCCTTGAAATATTAATTAAATGGAACATTGCAATTTAAGCGCTTTCCGAGTACAATTTTTGCCAGATTTATATCAAATTTATATCAAAGGTTTATATTAGCATGGACAACTTTCGGATATCAGTACCGATCAAATATTTTTTAAAAGAGTTGTGCCCCTTGTTTGCTCTCAACCCTCCTTTTCTCAAGATATTTATAAAAATTTCAAAGAACAAAAAAAAAATTTTTTTTAGGTATTGCCCTTGGACAGTTAAAATATGTGCAACATTGGAACTCTGTTTTTTTTTTTATTGTGAACTGAATTGTTACAAGTTATGTCGTTAGTTTTCTCGTTTGAATTGTTCAATGTCATGACCTTTTATAGCTGACTATAATGCAGAAAATAAATTAGTATAGTGGACAAAGCACGTTATATTGTACCATAAGCACACACAAGCATCACTTTAAGCAATTTAAAGATCACAGCACATTTAAACGCCACAAAAGCACAGAAAAGCATAAAATAAATTTGTATTATTACCAAAGCACGTTAAATTGTCACATAAGCACTCAAAAGCATCAAATAAAAGAGTTTATGGACCAAAGCACATTTTAACTAACAAAAGCACATTAAAGCATAAAATCAATTAGTATATGAGCAAAAGCACATCAAAATGGCATATAAGCACACACAGTCAAGCTTAAAATAAAACAGTATATGGAGCCAGTTACATTTTGTAAACGTGATTTCAGCATATCAATTAAATTAAGAAGAACAAATTGTGAGCCAAGGCTCCGTGTTGAAGGCCGTACTTTGACCTATAATGGTTTACTTTTACAACTTGTGACTTGGATGGAGAGTTGTCTCATTAGCACTCATACCACATCTTCTTATATCTATTGTGTTCAAATCATAGAAAGTCACAGTATAACCAGAAAGCAGTAGTCAAAGCCTATAGCAAAACATGCACATAGTAAGCTGTTAACAAAAATATAAAACAAGTAGCAAAAAGCCGAAATAAATTTAGACATGAGACAGCTGTGTTTTGTATTTACAAGCACTGCAAATACGTTTTGAAATCCCCACCTGCTATAGGTGTAATTCAATTATCACATTATACGTTTAATTTTACATCACTGTCTCTATGTGGGAAGTTTTATTACCCAGGCGCTATAAAGACCGCGAATTTAACAATTGAAATCCAATAATAGAAATTCAATAATTGTTTATTTCATTTTATCTGGAACATTGTTTTACACATATTTTTTTGCAATTTGGAAGAAAAGAAAGGAGGTTGGAGATGTATTTGATAAGTTCGTTCACAGATCCCATCGAATTTTGAGATGAGTACTATTTTTAAAACATTTTTATAAGATCTTTTCAAGGGTTAACATTAGCCAATCATCATTATGCAATTTTCAGTTAAAAAATTCAGAATCGTTTATTTTGACTACTGATACAATATGAAAACTAAGTGATTCACTTCCAGTGTTATCGTGTATTGTGATATACTTTTTTAGTCTTCAGAAACCCATACAATCTTTTTTGGTATGTCTGCATAAAACATCCTTCAGAAGAATTCAATTTAATTCTAAATAGAACTTCTAGAGGATTTTATCTTAAGTAAGTAAATATTTAATGTGCAAATACATATTGATTAATGATATAGTTCGTGTAGCCAAACAAGTGCATGTTTGAAACTTGAGAAAGCAGATCTCGAACTAATCTGGTTGAAATACATATCCTGTGTCCACGCTTAAATTACAATTGCAAGGATTTGTCAATGGTTATTTGAAGACCTTTCGGGATCCTTTGTTTTTATCGAAATGATGCACACCTTTAAAAAAATGAAGGCTGACATTTCATTGGCTGATGTAATAACTGCCAGAACAGAAAGTAGAATAGATTGTTGTCATATCGATGGAAGCGTAGACACAGGATCTGTATTTCATTCAGATTGAAAACTTACTTCCATCAAATTCAAATATCATCCTCCCGATGCATCGCTTTAGCTGTTTTTATTAAGCTTAAATTTTGGTATTACGTTGATTTTATTGCTTTTCATCTTTTGATGCTTGCTGGTTTCGAATACCTTGACATTCTGAATTGATTTTGTTCAAGCATATCTAGCCTGTTGTTGATAGTTTTTATGGTTTTATATACTATTTCATTATTTTGAATGAGGAGCCAAACCTTTTCTTTTCTTCGAATAATTTCTTCATTTAAGACATCACTGAATGCGACATATCACCGGAACTTTGTTTGAATCGTAACATGTGCCACTAGTTGAACAGGAAATGCTTACCCTTCCGGATCACATGTCTCCCCGGTTTTATGTGAATCCGATATGCTCAGCTTTAATGTTTTTGTATATTGTCATGTAAACCGTAAACTGTAATTTGTTTTTCTTGTTGGTCATGATGGTGACTTATGTGTCGTTTTATTCCCCCTCCTAAATTTGCAAAAGTCGGGATCCTTCAGCTGTGAACTTTAATCTTAATTTGACTTTACAGGGTACAACTTTTGAGATCAGGGTTAAATGAAAAAATATAGCCGCATGTTAGGTGGATACATAACAAGCTAAATTATGTGTCCTATGACAGTCGCTCATAATTAATTAAACTGGAATTTCTTGTCCAAAGTGAAATTGTTTGTTCGTACCATTATTCAGATAAAGCGGGATCGAGATATTTTTCAACATGGTTACATCAGAAATTTGTAGATATCCAAGTCTGGAATATACATGACTACACGACATGTCCACAGTGTCTACAAATGACATATCAACTAGTGTCCTCCACCGATCTACCAATTCTTTCGAGTTATTTTTAGGTATGTAGTTCTTTGCTCTTTCCTTTGTAGTTGTCATCTTTATTAAGGTATCTACATGTCTCGCAGTTAATGTCAAGTTTAGATAATTATATAAATGTTTAGTTTCTCTCATCAGGTTCATTGTAAAAGTTTCATATTTCAAAGGTAACAGCTTTTCTGGATAATAATGCAAAAATATGGCAAATGTAATGGCGTCATTAAAAATACGTGCACATAAATTTTCTGCATGGTCATTTAAAGATTCAAATGTATTCTCCTTTGAAATATAAAGATTTCGTCTTTGTGATCGGATAATACCTCTAGGATCTCTGTATAAGTATATCATTTTTAAGTTGTCCAATTCAGATAGAGCTTTGTTTAACATAAATATTGGTGTACGAATTGTTTTTATAATAACGAGTTTTGATTTTATGCACATGTCTTCTAATAACTGCAGAGTTGCTCTAAATCTACTTGGATAACGATATTTCCCATAAATTTCTCTTTTATAACGTTCCTTGAAATAAAATATGTGCTTCCCCTGTATCTTTGTGCTCTGAAAGATTTCTTCATCCCAGTACTCTAAGGGAATTTCATTTAATTGGCAGGTAAACCAAGCTCTCAAAATATGTTCCGCAACTGTTAAATATGTATTTAAAGTCCTAAAATATATTGAATAGATATAAGAAGATGTGGTATAAGTGCCAATGAGACAACTCTCCATCCAAGTCAAAATTTATAAAAGTAAACCATTATAGGTCAAAGTACGGTCTTCAACACGGAGCCTTGGCTCACACCGAACAGTAAGCTATAAAGGGCCTTTTTAAAAATGTTTTTCATTTCCATGATAGATTTGAACAAATTGTTTAAAAATCACAGTTATCTGTCTTTTGCATTAATCACAAACAGATAATTTAGATTATTATGTCAGATGATAGAATAGTATTATGTGGAGGATTCTCCCCGAGGGTATCACCACCCCAGTAGTCAGCACTTCTGTCTTGAAATGAATTATCATTGATATGGTCATAATTATAAATTAACTGATCATAAAACTAAATTTTTCGAAATACTAAGGATTTTCTATCACAGGAATAGATTACCTTAGCTGTATTCAGTGACAGAACCTTTCTGATTTTTGGGTCCTCAATGCTTTTCAACTGCGTACTATATTTGGCCTTTTAAACTTTTTTTTATTCGAGCGTCACTGATGAGTCTTTTGTAGACGAAACGCGCGTCTGAAGTACATTTTTTTTATCCTGGTATCTATGATGAGTTTATTATACAATGTATAACAAAATCCAGGTTAGTTTGAATGTTTCCTAATCATATTGAGAGGTTACTCATATGTTTTATATTATCATGTTCATCTTTAAATAAAACGAATCACTAAATTATAGCTATATTAAAGCATGTTCGACTGTCATTTTCCCTTAATAGTTTGTTGAAACTCATTAAAACGTTGCCCAGTAATAACTGTAATTCTCGATATTTTATTTTGTCAAACTTCCATCATTTGTCAAAATACTATTCTGGTAAATAATTTTTATTTCGACATTCTTTTTATTTCATATACTGTTACATATCATTAATTTCTTCCAATAGATTTTCACACGAAAAATCCAGAGACGCCTTTTTCCCTCTCAACATTAACCTGAATAATTTTGATATATTTTGCACTATTTTTTGTAAAAGACATATTTTATGAAACTATCCACTACCAAATATCCCTATTTGAAAATTGTTACCTCATACTGCCGTCGGAAAAGTGAAGTACTCTGTGTCCGAATTTCAAGAAATGAAGGGGTTCGAAAACATAAAAAACACTATCATCAAGCTTTAAAATATTGCCAACAAAACACGATCCACTTCGTGAGTATGTTACTAACACAACAGGGACAGGCATGCGGTTTGGTTGTAAACCTACAAAATAAAAAAGAAATTAGCGCTTCGCTAAATCCAAAGGCAGGTTAACTCAATATTATGCCGTTTCTTTATATTGTAGATTGCCTATACATATGTGTGAATATGATTACTTTAGAACATAAAAGAGCGCATTTAAGAGTTCGACCAAGTAAAAAAAAAAATACCTCGGAAGTATATGACACGAAATATAAAACTGAAAATGAAATTGAAGAACCTTCCTTTGCCAAAATTTGAAATGTTCCCAAGACAATCCCATTATAGGGTATCTTTGACGAGTTTTTACAACCATTGGGTCGATAGCACTGCCGGTGAACGTTTCGTCTCCGAGGGTATCACAAACCCAGTAATATCTTTTAATATCTTTAATATCTTTTTCTGTAAATTGACTGTTTATAAAATGTTTAATTATTCGGAACACTAAAGTTGTTCTACCCACAGGCCTAGATTTTCCAAGTCGTATTCGTGTCACATATTCAGATGTTTCATTTTTAATGCCCTTAATTTCGTATTTGATTTGTCATTTTAATACACTTTATCGCTATTTGTTCGCCATTACTGGACATCACAAAAGTTCCCGTAAAATTTTGACGTCATAATAGAAAATATCTGACGCCACAATGGAAAAGTGATTGTTGTATGACGTCAAAAGTTCAAGCGGGACAGATTATCGGGTCAAGCGGGAATAGCGATAAGGTGTATTGTTTTGATTCGAGCACCATTGAAGAGTCTACTGTAGACGAAACGCACATCTGGCGTACCAAATTATAAGCCTGGTATCTTTAATGAATTTGTTTATACAATCCAATACTTCAAATACCAGGAAAATAAGGAGTTGACCGTTTCATGATGCTTGACCTCCGTCAGCCCGATGGAATGTTTTGCAACAGTCGACCATTCTGGTGTCTTAGTCTGCGAAAATATATCTATCGTGAGTAGAAACATATAGATTGCACCTCTGCATCAAGTGTGTTACGATATTTCTCCACTCGAGACCGTGAAATTTTAGATTTTAAAACGCGAGGCTTGCCGAGCTTTTTGAATATTTAAATTTAAGTGTTTAAAGTTGAGAAATATCGTAATACACGAGATATAGTGGTGGAATCTGTTTTATGATTTTCAGAGAATATCTAAACAATTTATCCTTTTTTCTTCAAAGATTTGCAGAAAGTTGTGTTCTTTATATGTGACGTCATCAGGCATTATCGCCTTTTTCCTGACGTCACAATAGGAAATTCAGAAGAAATCAAGAAAATTTGACGCGATAATTAGATTTCGACCAACAATCATTTGCCAAGAACAACGTTTTCTCTAGAGATGAGAAATATTTTTCTCACACCGGTCGAGAAATGTGAAAATAGAATGAAAATTAGAAACAGACATATCGATCGGTCAACCAAATTGTGTAGTGACAGTAAAACTGTATCAGTGTCTATTTCATTTGTTCTTCCTTGTATATTTTGTAATCTTACTTGCGATATTTTTGAGTTACGAGCCTCTATTTAGGAAGAATTTTTAATGTGTGTGACGAAACAAAGGGAAACTGATATATTCAGTTTTCATCTAGAAATTGACAACGAGGGTCGGTAGAGAACAAAATTTACGACAAAGGAGATAAGTTCAGCTTCTCAATTGTGAGTGTTCCATTTATATGTAGCAACATTCTAGCAGCGCTTGGATATGAAGTAACTATCACTCAGTTGATACGTTATTCCAGAGCTTGCATTTCCTATCATGATTTTCTTGATATGTCGTCGCTGCTTACAAGGAAGCTATAAAACAAAAAAAAGTTCTAAGTAGTGAAGTTGAAATCATCCCTTTGACAATTTTACGGAATCATCATGAGTTGACCGTTATAGAATATCTGTTTCACAGATGACGACGGATATGTTCCAATTGTCGTAACAACAATCACGACCTCTTTTTCTCGAATGTGACCTGCCGAATTTAATTTATTACTTATCACCGGGTTTGTACTAACACGAGCAACACGACGGATAGCAGATGTGGAACAGGATCTGCTATCCCTTGCAGAGCACCTGAAATCACCCCTGGTTTTTGGTGGGGTTGATGTTGTCCAGTCTTTGGTTTTCCATGTTGTGTTTTGTATACTGTTGTTTGTCTTTTGGAAGTTTGTTTTTTTGCCATGCTATTGTTATTTTTTTCGACAGTTTGATTATCCCTTTATTATCTTCCGCTTGTGAGTGTGAATGTCCCTTTTGTATATTTCGCTTCTCTTTTAACTGTTTACAAACTTAGAATCTACGAAATGCTAAGGATTTTCTACCCCAGGAAAAGATTACCTTATTTGCAATTGGCAAAATATTCTGGAAATTTTGGGCCCTCAATGCTCTTCAACTTCGTACTTTATTTTTCCTTTTTATAAAATCTTTTTGTTCGAACGTCACTGGAACTTTTGTAGACGAAACGCATGTCTGACGTATACAATTATATTAATAAGTTTATTGTAATGGTTCATTACCCACATCCAGGTATGAAATAGACCTTCCAGTATCAGTTCAAAATTGGTTTAACTGTAAAGTTGACCTATTGATGTCCAGATGTATTCTAGCTGGTTTCTATATCCTCATTTGTGCTTCTTTTTCTTTTTTTTTTTTTTTTAAAGTTTATTGCTTTTCAACATTATATTAAAATAATATCGGATTTCCCATATTTAAATTTAAGCACCAATGACAGATAAATTACCGATATGCACATATTGTGATTTTCATTTTTGACACGAATGAATTATCAATGAAATCGTCATATTTGTTTAAGTTGTTTATAACTGTTAAAACACATGTTGCTTATTAATTTCCTTTTGAGCGAGATAAATAGGTGTAAATTCTTATAATATCAGTTCAGTTCGTATTACAGATGTTGACTTCATTGATAAAACTAGAGCTTGTCCTGGAAAGAACTTGGTCATGGTTTATACCTTGGTACCACTGCTGGTTGACTTTGTATCCGCCAGGGTATCATTAGCCCTGTACTCAGTATGTCTGTGGTGACATGATATAACATTGATAAGGTCATTTATTGTAATGCTACTAATTTTAAAACATTACATCATTCGAAACAATATGGATTTTCTACCTCAGGCGTAGAAGGCCGTGGCCGTATTTGGCACAACCTCTTGTAGTTTTTTAACGCTCATCAACTTCGTTCTTGATTTGTCTTTCCAATTATTTTGATACGAAAACCTCTGATGTGTTTATGTAGACCAAAAATGATAAGCATTGTGTCATCAATAAATTTGACACCCAATGTGTCGATTATACTGCTGGTGGATGTTTCGTCCCCATCACTAGCCCAATAGATAGCAATTTTGTGTTGAAATGAAACATCTTTGATACGAATTACTAGTATTTGAATTGACTTCAGGCCTAGGGTGACGGGAATGTTGCATGTCATTCTTTAATAAAAGTTTTCAAAAATTTCAAAAGCTTTAAATTATAGACCAATTGTAGCATACAGAAAACATCAGCTCTATCGACAATAAGTTCGTTTGTTGTTCGTTCTAAAAAGTAACAGTGATCACATTCGGTGTTTATATGGTAATTGTAGAAGGATACATCTCATCTGTAACCATAGAAAAATCTTTATGTCTAAATATCTGCAGGTTTTGTTAAAAGTATCTATCTTATATTTCGTGCTTTTTAAAATAAAGTTAATCTTTAAACTATTTTATGGCAGTATAGGAACAAATCTGCTATAAGTAATTCCTTACCGGAATATAGAGTACAACTTGATCACCAAACCTTTTTTTTCTTGGCATGTCCAATTTATTTGTTTTTGTATGTTGTATTGCCATATAAGGTATTGTCACGCTTCAACGAATATAGATGTACTCCGTTTTGAAAGAAAACATTTGATTGTTTGATTGTTGGTTGCTAAACGTCCAATGGAAAATATTTCATGCATGTTCAAGACGAGAAAAAATTAACAATAATACAAAAGATAGGTCCTTATTAGATGCCATCCAGAATGAAGTTCGGAGAAATTTGATTTCCACTGGAAAATGAGGGTATAGTAGATAGGGACATATTTTGCCTTGCAACTGGCTACCTACCGACCCCTAAAAGAGTTGTTGAAAGGGTTCTTAACGTGCAAAAAGCATGGAAATCTCTCTACACGATGCATCGGATTAAACGTCCACATTCTGACCAGACGTGACTAGATATTCGTACAGCCCGCACAGCCAAACGAACACAAACCTTTGGCAAGGGTTTTACTGCCGGTCGGAAGAAGACCATAGTATCCATTTTTCTATTCCCCAGTTAGCATTGAGGACAAAACATTTACTTGTTAGATGATGTGAAAGTGGAGTATATAGAGTAGATAGATCATAAATGTCCAAGGATACAAACAGTTCATTAAACTCACCTTCGGTGTGGGGTATAATTATGCAAAGGTCTGAAAATCAACTTTTCATAAGATCAAATAAAAGTTTGCCAACCAGTATCCAATTAAGTTCCAGCTGAAGTGTAAGGTACCTTTTCAATTTAAATACAGTGTATGTCATAAATGATAAGTACGTTTTACTTACCATATTTGATTTTATAAATTAAGTACACTCCAACAAACAATGCAATCACCGTAGTGACAACCTTGATTACCCGTTTATGTTTTAACCTTATCATTTGTGGTAGGATAAATATCATCCCATAAATGTATGAAACATATGTCGTTGTTCCACTATTGACATTTAGTATTAAGCAAAATTTGATTCTATTGATAAAACCATCAAATTTCAATATAATGCAGGTATGTCGATCCTTATCGTATTCATATAAATAACAACAACAGTAGTAAAACTCTTCAAAAATACTAGGCGTATAATGTTATATGCCAGACGCAAGATTAGTAAAAAAAAATCATCTGTGGTGTCTCCATTAAAACAATTTGAAGGCCAAAATAATTAAAAAGCTGAAGAACATTAAACAAGTAAACACTTTTGTAAAACATGAAGTCGACAGCTATTGTTACCCTCTCCTGATATTCGTGCATCATCCTTCACACAATTCCAAGTTATTTCAAGTGGCAAGACAAAGTATCAAAGACAGTAAAATGATTAAAAAAAGAAACGGAAGATACAAAGGGAAATTCCAAACTCATAAGTCAAAGACAAACTGGCGACGCCATTGCAAAAATCGATAAAGGACGAAAAGACAAACTGGGGACGCAATTGCAAAAATCGATAGAGGACGAAAAGACAAACTGGCGACGCCATTGCAAAAATCAATAGAGGACGAAAAGACAAACTGGCGACGCCATTGCAAAAATCAATAGACGACGAAAAGACAAACTGGCGACGCCATTGCAAAAATCAATAGAGGACGAAAAGACAAACTGGCGACGCCATTGCAAAAATCGATAGACGACGAAAAGACAAACAAGTCTATAAAACACTAAATGACAAAATGAAGATTTTGAGGTGCTCCGGATGCTCCAGAAGGGCAAGTAAACAGATCCACTTCTGGTAACCGTCAACTGTTAATCTTCAGATTGACAATAGTGGACAGGTGAAACATGAAACATTTTAAGGAACAAGCAGTTATCCGTAAAATTTTAAAAGTAATAATTGAGGTCTTGCTTCTTTATATTTGTGATGGAGTATTTTCAATTTATAGAAGTCAACATAGGGTAAGAATAATTGCCATATCGGATCAAATTCACCAAGGCGTAAATAATTGAGACGAATAAAAAAAAATTCAACAACATTAAATGACTGAATGAAATTGTGTAACAGGTTTATTTACATAAATTACAATACTGTAGCTGTACAAGCAATACATTTTCAAGTTGAACCTTCGTCATTTTCTTTCAAGTTCTCTGACGTCTGAGTAAAGCATTATTTAGTATATTTATTGTTACTCAGTCTCCCTCATTCATCCCTCTGTAACGTTGAGTATCTCTAATAGCTTCGAGCGCTCTGTTCAGTTCCTGTGCTTTAATACTCAAATTACCAGTTCTGCGTGAAACCCTTCCAAGCTGTTTTGATTTGATTCCAATCCCATCGACTTTTCCAATCACCTTTTGCACTCCGTCATGAAGACTATTTTGCTGTGATTTGGAGTTGTAACCTAGGACTAGAAAATATATTCAAATTTGATTAAAAAACTGTGTTAATATTTTTTAAAAGAGAGAAATCACATGAGTATCTATGACAAACAAATATAATCCCGGTTAAATTAGATGTAGGTTAAACATGAGAAATTACCTCCCCCCCCCCCCCCCCACCAGTTTTTGGTGGGGTTCGTGTTTGCTTAGTCTTTAGTTTTCTATGTTGTGTTTTGGGTTCTATTGTTTGTTTGTTAATAATTTCTTTTTTAGCCATGGCGTTGTCAGTTTTTAATCGACTTATAAGTTTGAATGTCCTTTTGGTATCTTTCGCCTCTCTTGTACAGCAATGAAATTAGATGCAGTTTAAACTTTAACGACTCAGAAACCAAACAAATCACTGCGAAGATCACCAACGTACTCATTTGCAAGCCAAGACTTCAAAGATTGACAGGCGCCTAAAGTGAAGATGAAATTCCAAATAAAGTTTTTAAAAGAGGGATTCCATTATAGCTCTTCAACTGTTTCGGTTCTTATACATCCTTGGCTATCAAATATTTGGCATTGAGCGTTCCTGATGAAGGTAAATGCAGAAAAGCGCCTCGGACGCATGAAATTTATAACGTGTTGTTTTTATTTTTTATAATGACCAAAAGTCGACGAAAACAAACAATATCATTGCCAACAAAAAACGAAGAAAAGACAAAGGAGATTTCGCAAAATACCATCAACAAAAGTTTGAAATCCCGAAACCCTCCAAAAACCTGAGTGAATACAAATGCTCCGGAGGTGCCAGCATTTCAAAGTCCATTAGTGACAAATGCAAAATATATATGATATTATACTGTTTGTAAAGAAAACAAGTTCTATTTTTGATAAACATATGGTGTGAATTGGGATGTGGGTGATTCGATCAAGAGACACTTACCCTGTCGACGCACCCTGTCTCGCTCCTTTTGGAGTTCATGCGATTCCCTCAGTTTCTGTGTGTTACCTTGGTTTGTATTCCTAATCGATTTACGAGATTTGAACATCGGTATACAAAAGTCACCTTAATGTATCCTTCCTTCTTTTCAAATGAAATATGGTTAACGTAACAAACGCCGTTTTAATCGTGTTTAAATACGTTCATGAGTCATTTCTGGTGGTAAGGCATACAATAGTAGGGTGGTATATGTCCATTGTCTAACATGAGGCATTACCAAATCCGCGAATCATGTAAACTCTTAGATTTGAATAAATGTGAAAGTTTGAATGAAATCAAACGAATGCTCAAAAGAAATGATAGACAATGAATGTTGCTTCACATAAATGGAAACTTATTAATTGGAAAAAAGAAATCATATGTTTTTTTCGTAAAGTTTATTTCTCAATCAATCTACATTTCAAAGTTTCTATGTGAAAGATGTGTGTGTCCGTGATACCGATATTTCAAGTTCAATTGGATAGATACAATTGGCATAATCATCAAAGTTTGCATTATTCAATGATAGGACATCGGTTTTATAGCTGAAAATCACGTTGAATGATAATGCAACTTCATTCTCCAGAGAAGCTCCTGTAGGAGGTCTGCATCACAATGTAAAAGGAACAAATCTCCCATAGACACTGCATTTTCAAAGAAATATATATCGGCCGTTTGAAAATTTACATATACTAGTATACCTGCATACGGAGTATATATATTCGATATTTTGATCCGATATTCAAAAGCTTTAGTTTCCAAACATAACTCCTTGAGAGGGTTTCTGCTTACAAGGAAGCTTTTGAACCATGTGTTCAAGATGGTAAAGTTAAAGTCATTCTTTCGAAAGATTCGACGCCATCACAAGTTGGTTAACCGTTATGGATGGAAATCTGTGTCACAGACGACAACGGATATGTTCCAATTGTCGTAAACACAATCCCGTACTCTTTTCCTCGGCTGTGACATCGCCGAATAAGTCTCATTACCGAATCTGGACCTACAGTGGCGTTGTCAGTTTATCTCGACTTATGAGTCCTTTGTATCTTCCACCTCTTGTACATAAATATGTGACGAGGTCAAAGAAGGTTTGTATATATTTGCTCAACTGTCTTTTTATACTTTGACAGATGGACGACAAAATCCATAGCAAGAATAAACATTTCATTCAATATCTGTACCATCTATAATCGTTTTGATGAACATTTTTTTCTACATCAAACCATAAAGATTTCAAAACAACAAATAAACAAAAACAAAAAAACAAACAAACCAAAAAGTCCTTTAGGCTATACTCTTTTTGTAAATGACTACAAAAAACTGTGTTTCGTACTGTGATTAATTCATGTTCTATTTAATTCCGTTTTCGCTTGAAGAAAAAAAAACAAACACCGTCAGATGGAAACAAGTTTTTTAGAAAAAAATTAAATTAAAGTTATCGTTTTCCTGAAGTTTCGTCAATCTCAAACTGATCATATTGGAATTATAAACTAAAAAAAAATTGGATCAATGTTTAGATGAAAGTTATTTATGTTTGATTACAGGAATGATTCTAAAAAGGACTTAATTTGTAGAATAGATATATTAAAAAGAAATCACCACAGTTCAAGTATCGAGCTAGAAGAACTTGTAGTGACTTTCTTTCAAGGAAAAATGGCAGATTTCGTAATTTAATGATTTATCCTGATTGGTCGTTGTGTGCAGTCAATATCTTTATAATACTAGACACTCCGTGTACTGTGCATTATATCAAAGGCCAAATAATATATAATAATAATAATAATATATAATAATAATATAAGTCTTTCCTACGTTATAAAAAGACACGTTTTTAAGAGCAGAATTGATAGTCAATGGAGATAAGTAAAAAAATGCTTTAATAAAAGCACAGGGAATCATTTTGGACTAAACAATATTTGCCTATATTTTTTTTTAATTTTAACAAGGTTTCATTTTTGAATTCTTCTTTCTCAAGTCTGTATATCGAAAATGTTAGTATGTAAAACAATTGGAATTTGTAATCTATATACACTGACTATTAAACATTCAATGTTAATTTTCTATGTTATAATGTTTCTTACCAGAACAAACGAGTTCGTCTTCACAAGATTTACAGTCACAATCACAATCCCAAACCCAAGATGACAAAATTACTGTACTGTCCCAACACTGTGTATAGTTCTCTGAGATGAAAGAATAGAATGGTGAAAATGTGTTAATATCGTAATCAGAAAATATTAAGTGCAAAAACAAAACAATCAAAATGATCAATTTAAAGATATGAAATGAATATTCTTTAACGGATTTTGCTACAAATAAGGCATGACATTAAGACTCATTTTACATACACTATATTTACACGATTAAAAACGATCATTTAATAAGTTTTATTCTGCTTACCTTTGATGTCATGATTGAGTGATTCACATGGTAAAATATATACAGATGCCACTACTACCAGTGTTAACAAGCCTTTAACCTCAAATGCCATTTTCTAGTTCTGCAAATATATTTACATATATACAATGTAGATAAATATTGTCCAAGAATCCAAAAAGCTATCCTGAATAAGACAGGGTGACTGCAAATTTAGCAAAGCTCACCTGAAAGGCACATAGAATAATAAAAATGTGTACTTAGAAACTGATGGACAGACAGGAAAGGTAAAAAGTAAACAATTCTCATGTTTGTTCAATAACTCTCTAAGAACATTTTAATAATAACGAAATATAGTATGAAGTTTAATTCGGGGATACTATCCTTTAACATTTTGTTCTTTTCATAGCAATGAATATTGTCAAAATTATTTTAATCTAAATCATATGAAATAAATGACTTTCAGTCAGATGATATTAATAAAAAGAAAAATATGCAACTAAAAAAAGAAAGGTTTACACAAAAAAATACTGCATGGTGCTCGCACCTAGATGTTTAATTCTTAATTCTTTAAAAACAATTATGTTTTCATAGTTAATGACTTTTAACAAATTTTTTAGATCTAAAACAGATAGAATGAAATCAAATAATAGCAATACAAAGAAAATATTCAAGTAGAAAATAGTTGCGCAAAAAGTACTACATGGTGTTCACACCTTGAAGTTTGATGCATGGTAATCTCTTTTTACTCCGATTTAGAGGTAACATATTGTTACCGTTGAAAAGTTGTCGAAAAACTATTTTCTAAAACACAATTGAATTATTCATGTTTCATTCAGTTCACGATATTGTAGATATTTGATAAAATCTAAAGAAATATTCTTAAATTCACCTTGGGGAATGATAATTTCCAAACAACTATAAAACTACAAATATTTTAATTTAACACTAATAGCATACAGAAAGCTTATGTATAATGTATAAACAATCAGATTTACACACCTAAGGGATCCTATGAACTTTGGAGGTATTTAGAACACATACTACGTTGTTCTTTATCATTTTCGTAAATAAAAGTACATCTACAATTCCCAAGAATTAAAAGCAGATACTAGTTTGAACATACGTGAAATGTGTGTAGCAAAATTGTCACCTAGACTTCTAACATCCGGTATTAAGACCGAGGCTGAGAGTGGGGTCCCGTTTGGTTATAAATGAGGGATGAACAAATATGCAACCACGCCCGTTCGTTAAAGGGGAATTTTAATCCGATGTTCCGTAATTGGAGAGTAACATGCTCCCAACAACTCTTTGGGGTGTCATGTATGTTCAGTATGTGACCTGTTGCAAGGCATTATTTTTGACCATATACAACATGCCATTATCTCCTATTCGCAGTCCCATTCCCACCACCAACCACAGTCAACTCGCATTAGAGAACCTATGTTATTGTTTAATTTGCTCTACTCCTGATATCTTTGCCACTGAACGTTAATCAAGCAACAATCATTTAATCAATGAATATAAGAGAATATCAAAATTTAATGTATTTACACACGAAAAATATTTAAAATGTTGTCACAAATCATGATCATTAGTTCCTTAATGGTTGTTTCAAAGCTGTTATTATTTACGTAATGCAGATATCAATCAAATACTTTCAGATTTTATGTGCAAGCTAGGAAATCAATATTTATGAAGTTAAATAGCAGTTGTTAGTGTTTAAGTGTGCATGTTTCTAGGTGCAAAGTCAAATTAAATGAATTCGGGGGAAAATCCATCAATTTCTTTCTTGTTAGGGAAACTTTGGTTAAAATATACTTTTCGCTTATTTCCCGCTGTTGTTGAAATCTATACGTAAAGAACTTCTTATTTTTTGAATGACTATCTTAAATTTTTTGAAGAAAGTGTATTTGTATTGTCCAATCATGATTGCTTCATTTATTCATTTATTCATTTATACGAAGTAAAAATGAGAATGTGTTGTATAATTCAAAAATAGTCAACCATTCTATTCAAAAACAAAGGACGAAAATAGATATCTCAGATTAACAGCTTACTAAAGGGCCTTCGGTAGTAAAAAAAAGGCAAAACACAATATAGTAAGCTGTACACGGTACACGGTAATAAAAATATGGAATACTCTTGAGAAGATGAAAGAGGAAGACAAAACATAGAGCTCTGTGTTTTATATCATTTTGTTTGTTGTTTTTTGTTGTTGCTTGGTAACGATCCGATGTCAATATCAACTGATTTTTACAGTCTGTATAACTGTACGATAAGAACATTTTCCATGTATTGGGAAGGGTTAAGCGCTCAAAAACATGTATAATAAACCGTTGGTAGGGTCAGTCTTGAACTTGCAGTGAGGTTAGAGTTTTTCTCTATGTCGAAGGCCTCACTTGGACTTTGAGATGCGCGAAGAGCAGTAATAAAACAATGTTATTTTGTTTTTGATTTTTTCATTTGTGTTACATTTTTCTGTAAACTTACTATTTATAAAATGTTGAATTCTCCTAGACATTAAGGTATTTCTTCCCCCAGATATATTGCCTTGGCTTTGGCACAACTTTTTGGAATTTTCGGTTTTGAATACTATTTAACTTAGTATTTAATTTGACCTTCCAACTGTTTTTTAAACTAGCATCACTGTTGAGTAGACGAACGAGCGTCAGGCCTGCACAAGTATAAGCTTGGTATCTTTGATGAGTTTTTGTTGTCTGTTATTAATTAAAAGGCTTTCTGTTTAAGGTTGCTAGCTTAAATCAAACCATTTCTTTTGAATTGTACATTATACATGCTGTTTATCAGAGATAATTTCCTCGTTTGATGAAAAAACGATGATACAGCCGTAAAAAAATGAAATTTGAAATAATATCAGATTACCAATTTTGTACCTTAAATGAAATAACAAGAGTGTTTGTGTTCTCTGGGTTTAGTTTGAGAAACATTATTTTGAACGAGGCCCGCGTGTAGCATGCAGTTATAAGGTAATATGTAGAATAGCAATTGTATAGCCTTTTCTTTGATTCGGTGACGACCGCTTGCGTCTGGTACTATTTCAATCTATGTTGATTTAAAAAAAAAACTTTTGTACACAAGTGTTCCCTGTGCGTTCGTTTATATGTGAATTAATATAAAAATAAACACAAATGTTAAAAGACGTTGATAAGTCCCATGAAGGATGAAAGCGCTAGACTTTTAACATTTGTGTATATTCTTATGTTAAGTTTATTTCAAATATATAATTATGTACATTACTGAAGAAACACTATATAAATATATAAATAAACAAATAAACAAAAATGATAATAAACATAATTGGACGAATATCATTGATTTATGTTTATTAATTGTAAAATGTAAAAAAAAAAAAAAAGAGATTCCTCTATTTTGTGTATTCAATCACTTACCTTAATAAATGTATCCAAAGGCTTTAGGATTTCTGATTTTATTATTTCTTATTTCCCTTTTTATAATATTTCAGTAACAGTACACATGAATCAAAGTATATCTGTTTTTTTTTAATTCCCAGGGCAATTAATATAACAAATAAACAAAGAAAAAAATTAAAGCAGTGCTAAAGATATAAGACAGAGATACATAATTCGTTCCGGTTTTGCATAGAAAGTAATCACGACTTTTTCTACGCAGTTTTATTTTCTTATTCTTATTAGATACTTATTTTTTCTCATAGGAAAGATGCCCATTAGGCAGTGTGTGTTTTGTGAATAGAAGATTTTGACACTTAGTACGTAAAAATAAACAATTTTTTTTCCATTGGTTATTCAATTTTTTTTTGTGCACACGAAAATTAGTAACAGTCGTTCTATTGGTCTATTCCCGAATTTTGTTAACATAACTTATCCTTGTTTTGAAGTCGGTTTGTTTTGTTTTCCAATTTAATCTTGTCAAATTACAACCAAGAAAATATAACTTACTTTAACTTTGAATGCAAAAGCGTCGAGAATTAATTAAGAATTGTGGGGAAGTATTTATATTTGATTTGAGATTTTTCTTCTGTATTAACAACTCTATCTATTCATCGAAATTGATCTCTGAAATAGTTTTAAAAGCTCCTAAAATGTTTTAATTATTGTTCCATTTAGCCAAAGATACGGTAGCTTTAAAACCATTGGCATACAAATTTAATTGGATTAGTTAACTTTTGTCTCTACAAGCCTGTTGTATCGCCTATGTTCAAACGAACGAACTGTCACCAATATTGAATAAGTACTAATAGTGCCTTCTCTCAATCAAAATATGTTTGATTACCTTAGTACTCTTCTAGCTTTAACTTTACAATCGACTTCATTTATCAAAATATCATATGTTTATCTTTTAAACCACTTACATTGATTAATATACATACATGTATTAGATATTTATTTAGAAAACCATCTCTTCACATTGAGGACACGAACCCCGGCGCGTCTTCAAGATATTTTGTTAACACATACAAATACAGGTTAAAATACATGCAATTGAAATATTTATCATCATTTTATTAACAGTATAGAAAGAAGTACTAAAAGTAATCAATAAAAGTATTAGAATATGTAGAATAATAGGTTACATAATATTTATTGCTTCATAATTATGATATACAAAATAATAGAGATATTGCATATAGCTCTTCAATCGTTTCGGTTCTAATTCATCCTTGGCTTATCAAATATCGGCTTTAAGCGTTCCCGTTGAAGGTAAATCAAGAAAAGCGCTTCGGACGCATGAAATTTATATAGAAATATTTTCATTTGTTTTGATATACTAGATAAGCTGTAAAATTGTTATAGTTATGCAAATTGTTATGCCTAGTTTATAATTTTTTATACATTAAAACTATATAATATAAGGCAATAGTTTGTTAAGTTACTAGAATATTGTACATAATGTCTGTCATGGATTGTTTGCAGTCATTGTGTTCTTAGCCTCGACATGTATTACATATCAGAAGGGTCACACTGTCTCCCTATTTCTTCTTTTATAAAACCTCCATTATCGCTTATTATTTTGAAAAAGTTTTTCATGCAGCAGGTGAATAAAAAATAAAATGTTAACATTTTGGTTCAAAAGCATGGTTAAAACCAACAAATACATTTTATCATTAAATATCATAAGTTGGGCAATTCAAAAGAAAATGGCTTAAATCTTCAGTTAAACTTTGATTTAACATTTCACATCATTAAGTTTCCGACACGACGTCATTGAAATATTCAACGATTTGTCCTAGCAAACACCTTTAGACATGAAGCTCACTGTCGTTTAAGCGCAATTGCTTTCCCGGCGCGATATTAAGAGTGGATGCAAGGCTACTTTTAGAAACCACAATTTCATAACATCTTGTGTAAAAATTTTGCCATGACATTTTTTATAGAAAACTCAATGTTCGCACAATCGTTTGTAAAACAGTTGAAATAGTACATAGTTAATAGTGAACTTTTTTCATAACCATTCATGATAATGAAAATAACACCTTGTAAATATTGTGCGTCCGATCTGCTTTCATGAGGAAAACATAAACCCTACACATTTTGAAAGCCAGGAATGTATTAGTATTTCAATACTTGAGTAGTTATATGACTACCATAATCGCCCCTTTAGTTTTCATTTTTCCGAATTCATTTTGTCCGGTCTTTTTATGAGTCTAAAACAGTTTTGAATCTGAATATTGAATTCATGGTCCTCTAAAACTACAGCCAAATTCATGTAAAAATAAGGTCTTGTAATGTTTCAATTTCAAATCATGCGACGGCGATGTTTCATTCCAACTCCTCGAAGATTTTCGTCCGTCCTTTTCTGGAGTAGAATAAAGATTTTATATATGTTAAAGGTCTTAAATATCGATAATAAAATAAATACACATAAGGAACTTTTATCTAAAATTTGATTTGACATGCATTTTTAAGGCAGACAATGGAGTATAGTATGGAATGGGGGCCTTCATTCCTTTATTCTTTAACCTTTTAGACAATTTTCTCTATTCTTTATTTACTTTGAACCTTATTCTCTATTATTTATTTACTTTGAACCTTATTCTCTTTCTTCATATTTCAGCACCCTATTATTCTCTATTCTTTATATTTTTGCCCTTTATTCTGCACTTTTTGCCCATTATTCTCTAATCTTTAAACCCAACCAGACTCTGTGGAGAGTTAAGAAATTGCAAAGATCATAGAATGATCATGACTATTTCTACGGGACTGCGAAATTTAGATATTGGTTTTATCAAAAATACGGTACCGATCATGATAAATTCAACTTAAAAAACCTGTATCCTCAAAGAAGCTACTGTTGCGGACTCCGGGGGCAAGCAATAGATTTTTGCATTAAGAAAGTTATTCTTGGGGAACGGATAATCCAGACGACCAGAATTGATTTATATCTGCAGTTTACAGTCAAATGTACTTCCGCTTTCGTTTTACAAGTAATATTTCAAAATATATCAGATACGATAGACTTGAACATTAAGGTTAGTAAAATTACCTGGCAACCTAAGTTTTGTGTGCTGTGGTTGTCCATTTTGCACTTTTCAATGAAACATACATCACAAATGAATATGTTGAATTTCTATGATTATTTTTTTCCTGAGTCATTCTTGGTAATAATTTTGAATCAGTTGATATCAGTTACTACTATCAAAACTAATAAAAATAATCATTTAAGGGCAATGAATCCTTTAAGAAATCTTCTGACAGTTTTGGTGGATTACAATTAGATCCTGACTTTCCAAGCATTTCTGCTCCTCTCAGATATTTCCAATCTGCTAAAGCTGTCAAGAAATTTGCATTTTCAATTGGTTAACAAGTTTTAAGTTTTCAAATAGTTTGGCCCAGAGCATCACTGGAGGGACATTTATTGTCAAAATGTGTATCTCGTGCACTGAAATTGGTACAGTTAGTGTTATTAACCTTATTGTTTATTTTTAGTCATGTCATGTAGGTTGATATATCGAATAAATATGAGATATGATTCGCAAACTAAAATTAAAACTCAAAATAATGATTACTTTAAATGGTTCGTGTATTTCTATTTATTAGTATCAGATTGTAACGGGTCATTGTCAAAGACTGTTATCGACTAGTATAGAATTCATTCACTTAAATAAAACATGCACGTATCATAAACGGAGCATCACCCCTACACAATTAAGTATCCTTTTTTATTTTTTATCTATGTATGATGTTTTCTGTTGTCAAGATTAGTTCAAGCAGGAAAAGGACCACAGTTTTTTTACGGATTTTATTTAAGTCTGGCTTCTGGATTAGTTATTTCATATTCTAAGTTTATTTAACATTGTAAGTTTATTTCATATTGTAAGTTTATTTCATATTGTAAGTTTATTTTATATTGTAAGTTTATTTCATACACTAAATGTTTTAATTCGGTATATTGCATATCTTAAATATCTAATTATTTCTTGATCAGTTATGTTTGCTTTTAAACTGACTTTGCATTATTGACATAGTCAGTCAGCTTTTTTGAAATTATTATATTTTATCATACAGTGCATGGTAAGAAGACGTAGACATGTCTGTCGAAATAATATACAGCAGAACCAATGAGAATTTGAAGTCAGAAAATATTAACGAAACATTTTTGAATAAATCAGTTATCCACAATTTATCCGACAGTGTTGAAGCATCAGAAGTCATTTCTGCTATCCTTGGTGCCGATCATGTTGATAGTGAAGAGTTAGCTTTGTACAGGCAGTCGACATTTATTTTGGAGTGTTCATGTAAATACGTCATTAACATGGACTCATTCGCAGCGGGAAGTAGGATTGATTGCTCTGCGTCACCTGAAAGTGATGAAGATCAAATGATACAAATGAAGGATATAGAGATTATTTCCAATGTTGATGATGCCACCATAGCTGGAACTAAGCTAATTATTGATACTTCTAATTCCCCATCAGGATTTACTCTTCTTCGTCCATACACATTATCTGTCAATGTTAACAGGCATGAGACAAAGGGGTGCCTACAGTCGTGTGTCGAGTTAGAAAGTGGACCCTATTTGTCTAGTGAGAGGTATATCCAATATAACATGGAGCTTGTCGCTGACATGGACAAATATTCCCCACCGTCATTTCACGCTGGTGAATCAATGCGTCATGGTCCATGTGTTATGTTGAACTACGCAAAACATGGGAAAGATTCTGACATGGCTATTGGTTTGAAGTGTTCCTCGTGGCCAACAGAATCTCTAGAATGGGTCACCAGAATAAGAAAATCTAACTGGCCGGATCAGCAATTGGTGAACAAGATCAAACAGATGCCTTGCCATGTATTACCGGTTGGTCACCCCGAGTCGGAAAAATGTGATTTGGAATGGCGGTTCGCTTATGTTTTGCCAGAGAGAGAATTAGTTTGGAACTTTAACGATGTTCAAATTCAGTGTTATGTTATATTCAAAACTCTGATTAAAGAGTTGTTAGATCCAATTGCTCCCGAGGAAATAAACTCTTTTCATTTAAAAACTATCCTTTTATGGCTGTCTGAAGAAATTTACGATTGGACACCAAAGCGTTTGATCGATTACGTGAAGAAGTGCTTAGATCACTTGTATAAAGCTATTGCAGAAGGACACTTGTCGCACTATTTCTTCAAGTCGCGAAACCTTTTTTCAGGTAAACTACAAAACAAGACAATGAGAGCACGTCTTCAATCGGAAATTTTGCGGTTGAAGAAAAATGTTATATCGCTCTTTTTGCAGTGCAATTGGCAGTACAAAAGAGGAGGCCAATATCTCTCAACCATTCGTTTAGTCGAACATAATTTATCAGAGAAAGAGGTTTGGACTGTAGGCCGAGCAATTCTTCAGCAGGGGCAAGATGAATTCAAACGCAACAAATATTCGCATGCTAGGTGCCTCAGTATGGAAGTTGCTTTGTCAATTATGTATCTCCCAGTTACCTATGAAAACTTAATAAAAGTGATGGAAGAAATTGGAGAACAACTGAAAGAAAATTTAATGTCAATTTATGCGTTGAAGTTTTTGTCCATACGCCTTGGAATGCTTTTACTTGCAGAAGCCAAACATACAGCGGATAGAGAAAAGCGTCAGCATCTTGGTACAGAGGCAAAGGGGTTCTTTGAAATCGGATTCGAACACGACATATTAGCGTCTTGTATGTATTCACTGACATACTACTATCAGACAAGAAATTACAGCACGGTTAAAAAGTTCTTGAATGAACTATTTGGTAGAAGATTGGCCATTCGATATGCAGGAACTCCTGGGTTAATTGACTGTGGTAATCGCGCTTTGATTTCCCCAGATATGTATGAGGGAGTTTCAGAGCAAGACATTGCAAATGAGAACGATATTGCTTTTGATGCTGTTTTCAGCTGCTCTGATATTATATGCGTACCTCCAGCTATGCAACTAGAATGTGCACTCTTAGATGGTAATTCAAATTGGTGTTTTTGTTCAATCCATCCTCTAGTATATGCCTCCTATATGCAATTTCAGGTAGCATCTAATTTAGATGACGTAAACGAAAGGAATATGTCTATAGATCATTTGCTTAAAATGGTAAAATACATCGAAGGAGGGGATGGTGGAGGATTTGTAGATTACCATCGGCATTACAATATTCTGGGATATTGCTATTTCATTATCAATGATTTCAAAAATGCCTTGAAATGGTTCGGCAAATCGCTGCAAATCTGTCCGACAAGTGGCAATGCTGCTGTCTATCAATTGTGTATCATGATATTAAACATCACAACTCTTAGATAATCTTGTGTATTCAAATGAATAAAGTCTTGTATATATCCATGCAAATAGAATAAAGACCGTAAAAATCACGTATTTATAGACTTAAATGATGAACCTGTGGACGCAACATTCTGCAAGAAATTTAATCAAAACACTAAAAAGAACATAAGATATTATGAACATGGCATTAAAAAAAAACATACTGTTCAATTTCTGAAAGTTTACCAAATAGAAAAGATATTGTTGTAAGAAGTTAAAATGCTCTAGTCTGATAATCTGCGGTTTCCGTGTACATATTAACACTGAAACTGGTCGGTTTATGTATAATTATTCTCATATTCAGTAGAATGCTATAGAATAAAATAGCAATATGTAAATCACTGTTGATATGAAACCTATTGAAAGAAATGCACATGTTGAGATGGAAGTATGATTCAGTCACCTTACTCGGGCATTTGTAATGACAAACGGCATAGTCAGTCGACTCGGTCTAAGATCGGGGAATTTGCATAGCCATTGGAAATGAAGGGCATTCTAGATTCGAGCATTTTGTTATGCGACAGATACCTGTCGATTCCTTAAAGACTTCTTGCAAGGTTTTCCAGAACGAACCACTTTCCCTGTACAATTCAAACTAATTTTACTGTTTTTGATGTTCAAAACAGTATGATTGAGTTACTATGCTTTACAGGGACCTGCGAACAGTCTTCAACATTAGGCCGTTTGTACATGCGCACCATTGTAATTTCCTCATTAGTTTCATAATATCATAACATTTTGATCTGACTATACTTATTATTTCCAATGTAGACATATTATCAGACAAAAAAAAAAACTTGTTTTTTTCCTTGACGCGCACCATAAAACAGCTGCAACAACGATTGGATAGAATTCAAGAAAAGCCATTGAATCTTTTTTGTTTGTGATCTCTTTTTATTTCAGTCGGCCTTGACGAATAAAACCGCTTACCCCCAAAATATGCACCAAACCCTACAGTTGACGATGCGTCTGTGAATATATCCAAATTGTTATTAGATATCATTTGTAGAATTATAGAACATATCAATTCTTTAAGAATCATAAGAAAATTGAAATCTTTCCGACATTCCTTATTCAAACGCGCATGATGATGTCATTATTTTGCTTTTGTTGATAGATTGATTAGATAAGACACAAATGACCTGCACGGTAGTATAATTTTTCAGGCAATATTTAAATACCCAAAGCAGCTGTAGAATTTCTTTTGTTTTTTTTTTGTGGAAAAGGATTTTACGCTCATATATAAGATAAACTCAAAAATACGATTTTGTTTTCTTCCTGAGGTTAACGGGCTCCCTTTTTTGGTGTATCGACGATGATGCCAAGATATTCAAGACACGTCACAGGGCCAACAGTTTGATGCATTGCTATAAGAACATGTTAGCGTTTATAAATCGTCCTCATTACTGCTATTAGTTGTTCTCCGTCGACGTGTGGCTAATCTATAGTTAAGAGATCGTCGAACAAGTTAAATACGTTATTAACATTTTAATTGTGTTTTGCTATATAACATTTTGCTTGTGGCAAACTGTCGAATATAATGGGACTAGATCGGTAACCGAAAGTTAATCGTACATAGAAATAATACTTTCCCTCCCTTTTTATACAAAAGAAAGGAAAGTGAGATTGTAAAATTGGACAGGTTTTGAATATATATGAAATATCATACCTCTACACCATTTTTTCTGTATTTCAGCATAATATCTATTGCGTCTTTAATCGTGAATTACGATATAGACGATTAATTTGTTGATGCTTAAATGAATATATGTTGGTTCTCGCCTTTATATATGCAGTACACCTTCGGAATATACAAACAGTGTCAAACTTGTCAAAAAACGACCGTGTACTAGTCTAAAATGAATATCACTTTGATGAGGTACCGATAAATCCAATGTTTGTCGTTTTTTTCTTCGAATTTTTTTTCTTCCGCTACTCCTAACGGACTGACATGGTAGGTTTTGAGAACGAAAGTGTGTCAAATGTCTCGTATATGAATCCATTTTCGCATTCATTTTTTATCAATTCGGTTGTGATCGTGAAGACCAATTTTTACGCAAATTAGTCACAGATACCTTGGTGTCGAAACCATGATAGTCTAAATCGTTGCCTAGGTAATATACATATACAAAAAAATGAAAACAACACGTTAAATAATTTCATGCGTCCGAAGCGTTTTTCTTGATTTATCTTCAACAGGAACGCTCAAAGCCGAATATTTGAAAGCCGAGAATATATAAGAACCGAAACAGTTGAAGAGCTATATGACGAAAAAAATACCTAAAAAAATAGTCAAATTCATCTAAGGTCAACTTTGCCTGAGGGAGTTGAAACCTTAGTTTCTTTATAATTTCAAATTCTATAAACGGACAACCGAAGAACTGACTACTGAGCTGATGATACCCTTGGGGACTGATAGTCCACCAGCAGAAGTATCGACCCAGTGCTGTAAAACATGAAAACAACACGTTATATAATTTCATGCGTCCGAGCGCTTTTCTTACAAAAGATGTGTAACAGTTACTATGAATCTTATACGTCAACGTTATCTGGATTGTAGTATGTTAAGGAAAGATAACACTTGAAAGTAATTTTTAGGAACCAAAATTCTGCTTTGGAGCATTAGTACAAGTCATCATTTCTTTTTATTTTTGGTCTTTCTGTTTTTCTCGGTATCTTTCAGTGTAGATTGGCGATGGCAGGCGGCCTTACCATGTTCAAAATTACGGCAAATAGAACACATATGTAATAAGAGGCAACGACTGTTTTTATTACAGCCAAACACTGTTGAAGTTGTTGCAAATTTCTTCCCATTGTGGTAAATATGTTTCCTCCAAGGAATATCGGTATTACTACAATTTTTTTCCTATTGTTAGATAGATATGCTTTTAGTTTTCTCTGCCATTTGCAGTGGACGGAATTTAATATCATAGTCATCCACATGACAAAGTTTGGAAATATTGATTTCAACGACCTCAAAATCCTTCGATCGATTCTCTCTTGCTCTGTTTTGATTAGTAGTAGTAGTGTTGCGGCTTTTGCTGAGAAAAGCTTATGGTTATCTTAGAACTTCTGCCCGTAATCTTGCATTTTCTCTATAATATCCTCCTCATACACATCTAATTCAGATATCCTACCAGAAAAAAGCAGACGTCATTACACGCTTGAATTTTCCGAAGGCCTTGATTAAATACCTTCTGCAAAAATTGTATGTGAATATGAACTCTTGAAACTATGAAATAGAAGAGAAGCAAAGTTAATGTCCTTACTCTATATTATTTTTTTCTATAACGATGTAGAAACTATGTCTACATTTGGAAAAAATCATCAGAACGAACTACTGTTCTATAAAATCCAAGAGGTAATAAATCTGCTGGGTTTTAAATAGACGGTTCGGTATCACTGGAATTGTACCATTGTTGAAGATTATATGATTTGTTAATATCATACAACTTCTCTGTCCTTAAGGTATCGACGGATTTCTGAAGCCATTAACACATTGTGAAATTAAAAGTTAAAAACAACCAACAATATATTGGTTTTCGTATTATCCGCACCAGGAAAATTGTTGTCATAGGTTTCACGGCTTAATTTCACTGTTGATGCAATTGGCGTATCGTTAAGAGATTTGTATGTTTAACTAAAAGTATTTTAGGTGTCCTCACCAAGTGTACAATTGTTTTTGATGACAATGTTTTCTGTACAGTTTTAACGTCGTTTCATGTGAGGTTTGTCTAGGCACTTTGAATCCAGTTTTAGACAGTTCATCAGCCTTTTGTGTTTATTTTTGTTTTTTTCAGGATTAGTTTTCGTCGCAACCAATTCAGTTCTATATTTTTGGAAACAGGATTTATGTTTCGTAGGATTCAATGATTTTACTTGGAGGCAGCTAATCTTCTTGTAAAATGTAATCAAATAAAAAAAAAACCAAAATTATAGCATATATAGTTTGCTTAAAAAGCGGTTTCCAAGACTGTGCCCAACTTGTCTTCCGTGTGATATATTAAATGGAAACTAGCAGCATGCACCTTTATCTGTGTATTCTCTTAACCGAAAATTCATGATGAAAGTAGAATTCTCCGTGCTAGGATTGAATAAAATGTGGTATTTTACGGCCATTTATAAAGAAAACAAGTATAAAATCTATCTTCAAATCCCAAAAATAGCTAATGATAAAAGTAAAAATTACAATCATGACACTTGTTAAATCAGTTTTGTGTCTTTTTTGTTTGTTTGTTATTTTTAAAAACACTAATCAACATTTGGAAACACAACTAAATGTTTCTCCTATTCATTTGTCATATTCATAAAGCAGTATAACAGTTGTCTTTCAAATCTATATTTTGGTCTTATATATGTATAATAAAGGCAATAACTATAGTAATCGTTCTAGTTCAATAAATTTTGAATCTTTTAATTTTTATTGTTAATATCCATTCACTGAACACGACTAAAATATTTCTTTTATTTAAATATATCATGTATATTGTAAATACCATGTCTGTCTGCAGTGATCATGGCCTTGTATGAAATCTATCTAGAAGTAGAGTAGCATTCGTTTCTATTGTAAACTTAATGAATGAATGCTAATGCGACTGCATGCCGTACAACAATGGCTTATCATAAATCAGAAATCTAACATTAGTTTTGAAAAACAAAACTAAGAGCTTCTGGAGTACTATTAAAAAAACTCGAATGATCAGCTGATCGTTATTTACTTAATGTCCAGTTGCAAATATTTAATCCATTTTAAGGAAATCAGAGTTCAACAATAATTCGACAATGTAGGTTCTGAAAAGGGATGCTCAAGGTTTTAGTAACGAAAACTTGTTCTAAAATGGACACAGCGTAGAAAAGACAAAGTAGAACAGTGAGCTATTGCTTAATAATGATACCCAGATAAAAGTCGAAGACCAATGGAAATGAAAATGCATCACACTGTATAGTCTATTCACATAAAGTCTGGTAACAAATTTTAGGAAGCTCTTATTTGTAATTTATCTATAAACAAGAATGTGTCCATAGTACACGGATGCCCCACTCGCACTATCATTTTCTATGTTCAGTGGACCGTGAAATTGGGGTTAAAACTCTAATTTGGCATTAAAATTAGAAAGATCAAATCATAGGGAACATGTATACTAAGTTTCAAGTTGATTGGACTTCAACTTCATCAAAAACTACCTTGACCAAAAACTTTAACCTGAAGCTGGACAGACGGACGGACGGACGCACAGACCGAAAAACATAATGCCCCTAGGTGGGACATAAAAAGCAAACTTTGTAGATGACAATTATGTATTAGAATATATAACACTGTAATGATTGATATTTTAGTTTGGTAGTTGTAATTGGCTTTGAACTAGATTTTAGTAAATGTGAGTACTCTCATATTGGTGCTTTGTGTTCATTGTCTTTTTGTTAGTTTTGTTTTTGGTGCTAAGTACTGATCAATTGAGTTAAGTTATTTGCAATTGATTTTTACAATTTGATCATATATTGTGCTGTTACACCACTGTCTCAGGTTAGGAGGGGGAGGGGGGGGGGGGGGATTGGTGGTCACAATCATGTTTAACCCAGCCACATTTTTGATGTGCCTGTCCCGTCAGGAGCCTGTATTTCAGTGGTTGTTGTTGGTTCATGTCTGTCACATTTGTGGTTTGTAAATCTAATCGCTATAATTAAGACTTTACTTGAATTGTTTTACATTTTTTTCATGTCCGATCTTTTATAGCCGACTATAGGTATTGGGTTTTCTCATTGTAAAAAGGCTGTACGCAGACCTATAATTGCTTACATCAACGTCATAAGACCTCTAATGGATAGTTGTCTTATTGAAAATCTTACCACATCTCCATTTTTTTTAATAAGTATTCTGTTAACAGAAGTTGATGAGCAATAAATCTGAAAACACATTCCACTGTAGAACATGTTCACATGAAGCCTGTTAACATCAGTTAATATCAGGAAGATCTTATTTGTAGTCACCTAGAAAAATGTGAGACATAGATGGATGGACAGACAGGGGTGAAACAGTATACCTCCTCTTTCTGGGTCGGGGTATAATAAACTTCGGTGTTATAAAGTAGCATCATTATCACACTGATGTCACCCGCAGACAAACCAATTGTAAATGAGAGGGAGAGAGACACTAAAATACAAAACACAGAATACCTATGTACAATTCATCGAGCTTTATTAAGACTCGATAGAACTAAAATTGCAAAGCATGTATGACATCTAATTTGTAAACAATTAGTACTTTTGGGGTATTTATAATTTGTAAACTTCGTCAAGATTGATAACAAAGGAAAATTTTCTTTGATTTATTTACTAATAAAAAAAACATGTAGAGTGTACAAGCACATATACTGTTGTAAAACAAATGAGGAACAATGAACCAGTACTCTATTATCTTTGTCTTAAAAATCACAATAAAATCATAAATATATAACTTCTTCATACTTGCATCAAATGCCTGTGCCCTTTTCAAGGTACGCAATGAACAAACATACTTGTTTGGATGGTGAAAAATGGTATATCATAGCAAGTAGAGTCTTTGACTTGTTTATTAAAATGGGATGTCTTAACTATATACTTGAACAATACAAAAGCAAACATAATTGTTTTGATAGAACAATACATACCTAAGAACTCTTATCGGTAACATTAATGAGAAATAATACAATGTAATAAATTTGGTATTGCTAATGGTTTACAAATTTACAAAATATTAAAATCGTCATAGTCTAACAACAAGAAACTATATCCATGTTTAAATCAACAGGAGTTAATCTTAATATCTTAATACTATCTCAACTATAAACAATTTAATATTATTGATTACATTAGTTAAAAACCACCTTAAAAATAAAATTCCTGATTGTTACTACCGTAAATAAGAGAATTACTTAATAGAAACATCAATAGAAGTGGGATAACCTAAAAAAAAATATATTTAAATTGTAAGGGTCAAATGTAAAATACATTTATATTGGGAAATAGAACATAGTTCAAATTGGGTTATCTCCCTTTAACAAGAAAAAATCTAAAATTAAAAATTAATTCTTAATAGTAAGAATGTTCCAATGCCCATTTATATGCATTATATGGTTTACACAGCTAATGCAAAAAGTAGTTCTCTTCCTAGATTTTAAATGCCAAATTATTCAAAATTAAGTCACTTCATTTTTTTATTTATATGTATGTTTCAGGCTGACCATTTAGTTTCTTACAAAAAAACATCAATGTGATTTCCAAACACTGAGATCATGAAGTCATGTATCCGAGTTCTTTATAGAGGGCTTCCCAGTCATTATTCCTAAACCCTCATGGATAATCAAGGTCGTTAAACAACCCTGTAGTAACATGGAAAAGGTATTGAACATAAAAAACAGACACAAATATTGTGAACTTGTAAACAGTTGAAATATTTGTCAAGTTAAGGAAGTGGCAAGAATAAGAATGAACAATATGGCAATGTAATAAGCAACGGTTGCTGGCAAAATAGTAGTAAGATGAAATATTAGTCATTTCAACTAAGTGGCAAGAATAAGAATGAACAATTCGGCAATGCAATAAGCAGAGATTGATGGTAAAACAATGGTAAGATGAATTATTTTCTGGCTTAAAACCTCTAATAATTACACTATAAAACATAACATATAAACAAATAAATACACGTATAGAACTACACTCTTTAAAAATGATTGTTGCAAAACTGATGGCAACTAATCTATGACATGAAGAAAGAAAATCTTTTTATTTGTTTATTCATGATTGATTGTATAGGGTCAGACTTTCAAAGGCTGAAATGTTTTTCACTTAACAATCAAACAAGTAAATTCTGTTTATTATGAATTCAAAAGAATTTAGATATTGACTTATAATATACAAGTAGAAAATGTAACTTAAACAGGACAGCAAATATGTGTGCATGCATTAAACATGTTAAAAACCACTTACATTGTCTTAAAGAAAATGTGATTTAATTTCAAATATGATTTTGAAATACTTAAGCTAATCTTGCAAATTGCTATTCTAATATTAATAATATCTGACCTAATATTGTCAATGTATTGCAATCCTTATCTAATGAAATTGGCAATACCATAAAAAATTGTTAATGTCTTCCAGCAATTTTTTTTTTTTTTTAAAAGTCATTTAAATTCTGAAATGGGCATTCCAATATACTAATTCACAGATTTGAAGTATATATCATAACTGTCAGAAAAAAGGGTTTACTTAACAAGATATTGAAAATCACTGAAGGGGAAACAAGTTTATCCTTGCCTTATATTTGGCCATTATTTTCACCTACAAAATGAACCTTTAGAGTTGTGTTCAGACTCTATTCCATCTTACTTTGTAAAACAATTACCATTAAATTTGTATGTAAGAAATTTTATCTTAAATGATAAACTCTTAAGGGAGTATCTTTTTTGTAACAGGATTAATGTGCATTCTTGGTATTCTAATATCCATACAATCATTCTTGGAGGAGCCATTCACATAAAAAAATATAAAAAGCAAAATAAAAAGCACCATTACTATTTGATTGACTAGCTATGTATATCTAAGCACTTACTATGAATTAAAAATAATAAAACTGACAAGCCCAAAACTAACAATAAGATTACCTCCTGGCATAGACACACAATATATGTAAATAAAGTTAAAACTAATAACGGGTTTTATAATGTTCAACTTTTCTCAGTAAATAAAATTGCAACAGTATTGTACTTTAAAAATTGCCATCTATACATGGTATTCCTTAATATTCAATTTAAAAAAAAAAATCAATTTTAACACTTTAAAAAAAATGCATGGCCATTACATAACGTCTTCTATGCATCAAATATATATCTACAATTTATCAGAACTCTTTAATGATTTAACAAAACAAAAAATGACAATTATTCTTCTAAGATTATTTGAAATATATTCAGGTATTAGTAAAATACAATCAAATTTCTCTCGATAACAACTTAAAGTTAGAATGACTTTGTGAAATGACCTCCATTTTATTGAATCAATACTTATGTACAAGGTCATTTTTCATCATGACATTACAAGTATAACCTAGTCAATGTACCTCCACATTGAAGAATCAATACTAACAGGTCATTTTTCAACAAACACTGGTCACATATGTTAGTTTATTCAAAAACAATTTAGATATTTGTCTTTTTGTGGGTCTTTAAGAAAAACGAAGAGATGAAGTGATATGCTGTAATTTTACACTAGTTTACTATATTGTTTTATTGACTACTAATAGCGAACTAAAAAGTCTAAAAAAAATCAGGCTTATAATTTTGTACGCAAAATAAAATTGAGAATGGAAATGGGGAATGTGTCAAAGAGACAACAACCCGACCGAAGAGCAGAAAACAGCCCAAGGCCCAAGATGCATGTTTAATCTATAAAAGACTCATCAGTGATGATCGAATCAAAAAGTTAAAAGGCTAATTAAATTATCTTTAAAATAAGAGAATATGATATGACATAACTAGAGAGATTGAAAAAAGTCTCCAATGCTATGATTCATTTCTTTTCCCCCACTTAGCAAAGGGGAGGGGCATGTGTTAACATTTTAATATGTTTAATTATTTCTCTTTTTGCCTAATTTAACTAAGAAATGAATATTCAATAAAACATTCTGCCAAAAATTGAAAACTTGGATATTAGTAAAACCAGTCTTCACTGTTTGAATTACTTTTATAAGTTCTAGATTTGATTGTTTTATTCATAAGAAATAAAGGTAAAGGGAAGTAACTCAGATTTAGGCAAAGTTGACATTAGATTGATTTGGCAATAATTTTATGTCCTTTTAGTCATATAGCTCTTCAACAAATTTATAAAGTGTTGTTTTCAATTTTTTATTTTCCTTAAAAATTGATTTTTTTTCTAGAAGAGAGGGAAAAGTTTAAAGTTGTATGTGCGTGAATTCTGACAGAAATAATATTCACACAAAAACATAAATATGAATACATTAAAATCAGGATATCAAAGTACGGCTGCTTTTTACACAAGGTGTAATTCATAAATACACATCCAATTTGCTTAATCAAAAATACCTAGTGTATTTTTTACCAAGAAAAATGCTTTTTTGCTTTTTAAAACTAGTCTAGAAAAGATTTCATCTGTTGCTATACATAATGAATATATATGCATATAAAGGACAACAATAAAAAGAAAAATGATTATATTTTGGTTGTTAAAAACTTAACTAAACTTAATTTAAAATTTTTGTTATGCATAGAAATTGGTTTTTATAATAAATCAGGTTGAGTCAATCTACAAATAAATTGATTTCACTTTCATTTAATCAACTTTTTATAGGTGAAAATTCTACCTGAGGTAGTCACATAATCATCAATTTAATTATTTTTCTTTTATGCAACCTTTTTGATAATATGAACCTGTTTGCAATTAATATGTTAGTGAACACTTAAAAAAACATATTGTTTGGATGGTGAAAAATGGTATATCATAGCAAGTAGAGTCTTTGACTTGTTTATTAAAATGGGATGTCTTAACTATATAATTGAACAATACAAAAGCAAACATAATGGTTTTGATAGAACAATACATATCTAAGAACTCTTTCCATAACATTAATGAGAAGTAATACAATGTAATAAATTTGGTATTGCTAATGGTTTAAAAAATTTACAAAATATTAAAATCGTCATAGTCTAACAACAAGAAACAACATCCATGCTTAAATGACAGGAGTTAATCTTAATATCTTAATAATATCTCAACTATAAACAATTTAATATTATTGATTACATTAGTCAAAAACCACCTTAAAAATAAAATTCCTGATTGTTACTACCGTAAATAAGAGAATTACTTAATAGAAACATCAATAGAAGTGGGATAACCTGAAAAAAAATTATATTTAAATTGTAAGTGTCAAATGTAAAATACATTTATATTGGGAAAAGGAACATAGTTAAAATTGGGTTATCTCTCTTTTTCAAGAAAAAATCTGAAATTAAAAATAACTCTCAATAGTAAGTATGTTCCACACCCATTTATATGCTTTATATGGTTTACACAATTAATGCAAAAAGTAGTTCTCTACCTAGATTTTAAATGCCAAATTATAATAAATTGATTTCACTTTCATTTAATCATCTTTTTATAGGTGAAAATTCTACCTGAGGTAGTCACATAATCATCAATTTAATGATTTTTCTTTTATGCAACCTTTTTGATAATATGAACCTGTTTGCAATTAATATGTTAGTGAACACTAAAAAAAAACATCTGTTGCTATTTATACAAGTCCAAGACATGCAAAATAAAGTTTCACATCAAATTCCATACAAAGATATTTCATGGGCTTCAAATCAATTAAACTTGTATATATGTAATAAGTATATAACTTGATAAAATGGCTTAAAGGGATGATTAAAAAAAAAATCCTCAATCTAAGGACCTTGGGAATCTTACTAACCTCTTTGTTTTCTGGAGTGTAAGGAAATCATTTAATGATGACTGCACTTCAACCATTTCTCAATTCACCCTTTCAGAATAAAATGCATTTTGGGTAATATTTTCAAAAGCATATACCAAAACATTGTGAATGATTAGCAACTTTTCTAAACAATTAAAATTAAACCAATGACAAATCATTAATTTTATTTTGGGGTAAAATCAATGAAATTACCCATAATCCTTAAGATTTTGAAATGGCAAATTGAAAACAAGAATAGCTGACATATTTTTAAATGGACATAAATCACTATACAGAATAAAAATTAAAAAAAATCATTAAATTACAAAACAAATCAATCAGTGGGTTTTTG